CTGTGGTATCAGTGGTGGTGAGTAGTGGCTCTCATTAGCCTCTTTTGATATTTTGTGCAGATTTTTTTGCAAGGTATAAGTAGTGTAGCGGCCTGGCACCCGTCCTATTGTAGCTCCCTTTTCTCCTTTGGTGACAGAGAAGCAATCAGGGGAGTGAAGAGGAGCTAGAGTAGGATGGATACCAGGCTGATGTACAGTGTAGTAGGGTAGAAAATAGAAATGTATCACTTGTGCTATTTTCTTTCTTTCGATTTGCTGTGTTGTGATAAGTGTGGTGTGTGATTTTTTTCTAGGGCATGTTGGCTTTGCTAATTTTTATTCTAACATCAAGAATTAGCCTCCAGATACTTTTCCAACCATTTAAGATTTGGTGGTGGAGAATTAAGCTATCAAATAGGATTAAATTGTTTACATAAAGCCAGGTAGTTGAAAGGATCAGAAAAACAAGATTGACATCTTCAAGATGACCTGACTCTGACTAGAGCTGTGTACCTAAACAAATTTTAGGTACAGGTACAGGTACAGGTACACAGGTTTAGGTACAGGTCCGGACCTGAACCTGTACCTGAACAATTCGACCAATTTATATGCTCTTCTGAACTCCTTCAATAACAAAAAAACATAAATAAACTTGATAGTTAAGGTTTATTCTTTGTTTATGGCGAATGCTCAGATAAAATATAGGCAAAACTAAGTTGTTTATGTTTTCATGAACACACTGTCCTTACACAGGGACACATTGTTAACCAGCTATTTCAGCTATTTACACATTTGAGGTCACAAATAGGCATAAAATTGGTGTGAAATTGTTTAGGTACAGTACCGGTACTGAGGGATTAGGTATTTTGGACCTGTACCTAATCAATTTTTCCGGTACAGTATCGGTACTGCGTACCGGTACACAGCTCTAACTCTGACACATAAAAATAAAAGACTGCTGTAAGCTATAGCTGGGTTATTCTTCATCTTACTGGCTCTAAATGTACATTTGTATGATTCTGCCTAAATCCAGTGTGCTACAAAAGACTAAGCACTTGGATCGCAGCTAAGATGTCAGCATGCTAACTAAAAAGCAAAAGACATTAACTAAATATCCTTTGAGAATATACAAAGATCCACACCAGATTATGCAACAAGAAACCTGTTCTGGTCAAAAATACACCAGAACCTTGTGATATCCTTATTTTTAAACAGGAGTGTTGAAATATTGGGAGGTTATCTGTTCTGTTTTGACCTTCTTCACCCCGTAACCAATAGAGAATTGGTAGCCAAATGGCAACTTTGGTACATGTGGTAAAGCCTGCCAACTGATGCTATGGTTCACCTTGGCTGTACCTTGACCCAGGCTTTCAACTATTTACCTTTGGCAGTAACAACTGTTTCCCAATCCAACAAGGACATTGGCCATGTTGGACATGCTAAGAACTGTCAGACCAAGAAAACAAAACCTACATATCAATCCAAAGGGCCTACTTGTTCACCCCTGTTGCTAATAACAAACCAGATGTATTGAAACAAGAAATGTGCTTGTGAAAAAATGTACTTTGTGCATATCGGAACTCCAAATTGCAATCTGGTGTCACAACTGTATGTTGTACTTCACCAACTAAAGGATTTAATCGGCTATTGGTTCATGCTATAAAATTTATTCCCTTTCTCTTGCAAACGAAGTACATACACTTCATTAAGACAGAAAATATACATAGGACTAATCTAGAGAAAAAGTTTTGATTATTAATCATTTTAGAATGCAGCAATAGATGTGTATACATTGTAGATAAGTAATCCATTTACTACTAGTGGTAACTGTTAGTTTTTCATCTAGTCTGTAACTATATAGCTAGCCATTGTCCTGTAAAGAGAACTGTATAGTTACATAAGAACACATTCACAGAACCTTCTAATTCTCCAGTATTATATAATAGATATATAATCAATTTACCTCAGTACTACCAATAGTGCAAACCTATTCTGTTTCTCCTGTTCCAGCCCCACTGGACGCAGCACTGATGGGTCTGGGCCTGGACTTGTCCCCAAGTCTTGCCCCGCCCCCTGGCAGCAAACCCCAGTCTACGACGTACGATTCTCTCCTGGCCAGCATCAAAACCTCGGCCACCATCACCGCCCCGCTACGGAAGGAGGACGTAGATAAGGACCTTAGTGAGGAAGCACGGGGCATCATGTCGCGTCTGCCCGACCTGTCCTTCATGACAGCCAAAGTGCTGATGTTTCCCGCCAGTCTGAGTAAAGCACAGGAGGAAACACCGAGTACAAATAGCAGCTAGGATACATTATTACAGTAACTGTAATTCCTGATTTTTTTCGTTACTGTTATTTTTTGTGGTCACTTACGTACCCCGAACTTATCATTACTGTTAACAAATAATTTGCCGACTTTCTTTTGTCTGCATGTGGCGCCACTGTGAACATATAGTTCCATGAACACCTCCAACTTTTACTACAGTAACTGTGAACATAAAGTAAATTACAGTATTACCTGTCTTAAGGGAACTTAAAATTAGCACTGAACAGACTGCCTTGTTCATGACTTCATTTGGCATTTATTTTATTGTAAGATTGTACTTCCAAGAAAGAAAATTCCTTATTAATTGCTCAGACCAGGCTCATCTTAAAGTGGCATGCCAAGCTGCACGAGCCTAGGTTGTTATTCCTGCTACTTGTAGTGTCGTTCTATCTTCTCTTTGATTGATCTTTCTTTCTGTTTGGTGAACACATGCTTAAAGATAAATGAAAAAGAAAACGCTTTAGAAGAATAACTGATTGGAAAAGAGGTGATCAATAGAGACTCCTTTCCTGGGAAATCCTATTTGTCACCTCAGATGTTATTTTTTTCACATCTTCCATATGATGATCATCTTTTATTGTGAAATTGTCTCCGGAGCAAAACCATAGTGATGACAATTGGTCATAGGTTACAAGATTCTTGCGAACAAGCCTTGTTTGTAGCGATGCTAGTCATAAATGTTTTGCATTCTAGAGCAGCCTCCATGCACCTGGTTAGAACAACACTTGAAGGCTTAAATGGCTATTTTTAGAGTGTCAATTGCTACTCAATGAAATATACTTACTACAGTGCTTATATATATATATATACTGCTAATTTCTCATCGAATGTCAGACTTCTCATCGATACTGCTGCTTTGATGTATTTGCTGTAATCCTTGACATTTGTGAGATACTCTATTATTTATGTGCAAACAATATTATAACGGGAAACAAATGTGACCTTGTAACATGTACATATATAATTAGATGATTGTTAAAAGCTGTGGTGAAAATTTTAAACATTGGTTGGGGTTATCTCATGTACCCAAAGCTAAGGTACACCTTAACCTGTTGTACCTTCATTGGAAATGCTTGTAGATAACTGGCAGCCCTGTCCTTGTACGTATTTTGTCCATTGATATGACCAAAGGATGAAGAAATGTAAATCAGTACAAGTCAGTTTATGTGATTTTGTAGTCGATGCTTATTCTAAACAGGACTTAAGATACCGGTATACTGTAAATGTACATGTACATTGTACAAGACATTATAATTGAATACACGTGGATGTCTAAGAGCAAAGTTTCAGATGCACACTATTGTGCTATTTATAGTAACTAAGGAAGCGTTGGGCTTATTTTAAGAGTAGGAACAATAGTAAGTAGGTAGGATGTGGAGTGCCTGTCTCCTTCCAAATATAGGAGGACTCAGCAAAAGTGTGCACAGTGCCATTGTACACAGACTATCTCAGACAAAACAATTTTCCAAATGAAGTTACAGTCCAGTTAATTATATCCTTGGTACAATAGTATTTTAGATGTGTCTGGGATGATTTTCTGTTTTTAAAAAATGCAGAAAATATGCCATCCTTTCTTTCTGTTCACTGAATGTTGTTACACTCTTCCACCATAAAACATTGAAACAATAAAAATGTAAATCTTTTAAACTTGCCGATAATAAACCTTAACAACATATGTATTGTATTTGTACAGTCAGTTGCTGTGGATATTTCAAGTTCATTAATTTCTGACAACCATACCTATTACATGTACATGTACATGTACTTGATTTAATCTGGCTATGAAATGTTTATGTCATGTCAATCTGAATGATTCTATTCATGTGATTTGCCTACCTGAAAACATCAATTTTGGCAACATATAAATACTGCCAGTGCATTGATAATCATAATCGTTTTGTGCAATTTATGTAAAGAACTACAGAGATAAAGTTTATATGTACTTGCTTCCCTCTACCTGCAATGTTTTCTTCCTAATGAGCAGGATAGTAGCAACGCAGATTTCTTGTATAACAAGTGTATTACATCTTCATAGTAGTTGCATATGGCATATTTAGTACAAATGGTTGAATTATAAAGTGACTGATCTGCAAACTATATGGATGTAAACATGTACTATTGTATTGTAGGTTTAGTTTTAGCTTTGTCCTAACATAGTGTGAATGGTTGTACAATGTAAGTAGTTAAAGAAACTCATTGTAATATCATATTCTAGACTTACAAGAACAACTAGCTACAATTCTATCATCATCAAGTAGATGTCAGATTTGTGTACATGTTCTTTCTTGTACAATGTATATGATTATTTCACCATACATACTATCTCCTTTCCTTTCTGCCATATTAGTAAAATTAACAGTTAAGCTTATGTGGTAACTGCTGTCATCTGTGCACTGTATTGTCTTTGCTTTTTGTGTAATGCTTGCATGGAGAGTCACATTTATATTATTGTGCAGAATGGGCATTGTTTGTAAGCGTTGAAACTGTCAAATAATGGTGTGAGGGGAGGGCAAAATGCTAGTAAAAAAGACACCCAAGTATGACCAAGTGCACATATGATGTAGTATCTGGTGGAAGTACTTTGACTTCCCCGAAGAGAAAATTAGTTGCTATATTGTGTATATACAGAAAAAAGGTGACGTGATCTCCATGTATATGAGCTTGCTAAAGTGACAACCATTGAATGTGAATAAAAGCTACTGGTATTCTTCAGATACAGTTGTCTTAGTGGTACTGAATGTGTAGATATTATAAGAGGATTATCAATATTGTGTTGGGGATCATAAATGTCATGATTCAGGTTTTTCTTATTACATTTTCTTCAAGGTTATTCCCAAAGATGAAGACATGACAGCCGGCATCAACAGTGGATTTTCCAAACCTGTACATTTATATAAATCAATGCTTAACACAAATGTAATATGGAGAGACATTGGCTACTGAGAATTGTGAAATATTCAAAGAGGTTTTATTTAGTTCATCATACTTAACATGTTCTGTCTTGCATATCTTTACTACAGTTCTTTCAACCATATATGCATGAACTTAAAAACACTTTGAACACCTGCTATTTATTCAAAATTAAGTTATGAACTTGCAGTATCTCTCTAAAAATTTCCTTGTCTTAGCATACACACCAATATGCGTACTAAAGACTAAGAATTATTATTTGCATAGATCCGTCAAAATGGATTGATGACAATAAATGATAGAACTGGAAAATGAAACATTCAAAAACATGTTAAAAATATATTTAAACATGTTTTACACCAAAACATATAAATTCTTCACGTCGCGTAAAAGCACAACTTCCCACCAATTTGTTAACATTTGAACATTGCAAAACCCTTAGGCCATGTTGATTTGATTATATGGATGACATCCTCTGGGAACCCCAAAACTGATGCGAGCGCGCGAATAAAAAAAAAAGTTTTGCAAAAAAAAAAAAGTTAGCTTTCATGAAATCTACGTTGTTATGAAGTCGAACAAATGACACAGAGTATGGTATGGCGAATAATCTACTCTTTAAATTCATTTCTTTGCATTTTAGTTTTTTGTTTGATTTTGGCATTCTACGACGTTGGAATCGTTTTCAAATATTTTTTTTGCAACTTTCGGTATATATTTGCTCATTTTTCAACTGTTTTGTACAATTTTACAGTGTGGTTGGAAACTTTTTTTTTTTTTTGGAAACGGCCGAAAATTCATGCGCGCGCGGATGTCATCCATATA